GGTGCTACATATGGTGAGTGTAGACCTATTACTCTACCAACGTTCGGGTTTATTGTAGGCCTATTTCCATACCAACGTACGGGTTGTATTGTAGGCCTATTTCCGTACCAATGTACGGATGTATATGAGAGGTTTACGACGTCAACCAAGTTAGGAATGACTCCATGACAGAGAGCCGATCAGGCCCTGTTCTCTATGTTCATCTTGTTATGCTCGCGGTGGATCATGTTATCCGTTTTCTTTCGTTGAGTGATGGAAAGATTTGGGCTTGGCAGAAAGGATTGAGAAACGCCTCGTCTATAATGATGACAGAATCCACTTGAGCTTCAAAAAGGGCTGAAGTGTTTTTCTGAAATCGTCTTTTATCTATAATTGTCATAGACGATAGGGATTTCTGGTACTAGAATTTGACATCATAGCTGGCTGACAGAACGCCAAACTGATGGAAAAGAAGAAAGAAAAAATATGTTGAATCAAAGTTCACATACAGGAAACGAGGAGTCTTGAAGATGATACGCTGTGCTTTGTTTTATTGTCACTGTTATTATTATTGTCATTATCGTCATCATCAATATTATTATTGTCGTCGTTTCTGTTGTCATTTATTTTCATCAGTTTGACTGTTCTTAGTAATACTAATAATATCATTGGAGTTAATGAAAGATACTTTCACCCCCCCATAAATAATAATAAACCTTAGACCTCACGCAAAGATAAAAATACGAGAGCTATAAATGACCATGACACGAATTGTCACTGAGAGAATGGTCTGGTTCTTATAAATAGTCAAAAGCCGAAGATAGCAAGTCGAATGCAACAACCGAGGAGGCAGTTTTAGATGCAACAGCTTTTTGACTCCAAGTAGGCAACACGCCCAGTGTCTCAGTCGCTAGTTTTACCTTGTTAACGTATTTCTTTTATTTGATTCATTTACTTGTTTATGTATTTGTTTTGTTTTAGTCATTTATATTTTTTATGGGGGCGTTCAGATGGTTTCTCAAAATTCAGATTCAGAATAGAGACAAATGTAGAGCTTTTTTTGTGTGTATTTCATTCTGTAAATAAACTGGTTTGTAGATACCAGAATAAGCAGGTTATCTTCGCCATCAGGCATCTCTTCCGCCTCAGATCGGTTCTGGGCTCTGACGACACCGCTCCTCTCTTGCAAAGGGTGTGAGTGCCGAGTGATTTATGCTCGTTTTCTTCATCTACATAAGTCGCCTCTCTTTTTCTTCCTCCTCCTCCTGCTGCTCTTTTTCCTTCTCCTTTTTTCATTCTCTCTCTCCTTCTCCTTTTTTCCTTCTCTTTCTCCCTCGTCTCCTCTTCCTCTTCTTCCTTTTTTCCCTTCTCCTTTTGTTTCTTCTTCACCTCCTCCCCCCCCCCCTCCTCTTCATCTTCTTTTTCTTCTCCTCCTCCTCCTCTTCCTCTTTTTCCTTCTATTTCTTCACTCTTCCTTCTCTTTCTTCTTCCTCCTCCCCCCTCCCCCCTCCCCCTTCTCCTCCTCCTCCTCCTCCTCTCCTCCTCCTCCTTCCTCCTCTCCTCCTCCTCCTCCCTCCTCCTCCTCCTCCTCCTCCTCCCCCTCCCCCTCCCCTCCCCTCCCCCTCCCCTCCTCCTACCGACCCACCCTATGACGTCACAACTCGATTGCTCACTTTGGCCGTAACTCAATTCTCTCCCAACAAAGTTTGGTACAATTTCCAGCAAAGCTTTTTCTCTTAGCGGACTTCTTGCGAGGTTCTTTGCTCTTTGCTTGCAGTCGAAACAACCCCCGTGCTTGCAGTCGTGGGCTAACTTCTTGCCTACTTCCCCGTCAGCTAACCACAGGGGGCCATGCCGAACCACGAAGCGAGAAACGGTAAACAAAGAGACAATGGCGATGGTCGAAGCCTGGTCATAAGTAGATATCTCTTGCGTAATAGGTACGGCGGTGTTCGAAACTTACACCTTGTGCGCGCCGCGTGTGTGTGTGGTGTGTGTGTGTGTGTGTGTGTGTGTGTGTGTGTGTGTGTGTGTGTGTGTGTGTGTGTGTGTGTGTGTGTGTGTGTGGTGTGTTGGTGGGTGGGTGGGGGTATGAGTGTGTGTGTAGGTGTTTTTGTTATATGTTTGTAGATTTGTGTGTGTATGTTTGTGGATGGGACTGTGTGTGTGTTTTTGTGTATATGTAGATTTGCGTTTTTTGTGTATGTTTGCGGATGGGAGTGTGTGGGGTTTCTGTCATTATTAAATCCTCCGGAAACAGCTGATTGTAAAGTGTAGCCCCTGAAGCTAGCTCGCAGGATTACACCGCGGGAAGCGAGTAGCAAGTCTGGCCCAGTCATAAAACGGAGGCAAAAAAATACAATAAACCTTTAAACCGATAACTCCACCCTCCCACCCCCACCCACCCCCTCTCTTCCTTACCCCTTTCCACCCCACCCCCCCCCCCGTTCACCCCTCCGTGTCGCCTAGCAACAGAAGGGGCTGTGGGTACCTTGTTGCATGTGTTGACTTGGCAGGTGCGCCCTAATGACCTACCCGTTGACAGTGTTCTAGGATGCCCTCGCTGGCGCCGCTCCATTTGGTACGCTGCGGATCCTCGTCGGAAGACAAAGGAAACGTTTTATCTGTCTTTGGCTTTGTCGTTGTCTCCGTGTGTCTGTCTTGTCTCTCTTTTCTCGGTTCTGTCTGTGTGTCTGTAGCTGTGTCTCTATCCCTCTTTCCTTTCTCTGTATCTTTTCTTTCTGTATGTATGTATCTTTTCTCTCTCTCTCTCTCTCTCTCTCTCTCTCTCTCTCTCTCTCTCTCCTCTCTCTCTCTCTCTTCTCTCTCTCTCTCTCTCTCTCTCTCTCCTCTCCCTCTCCCTCTCCCTCTCCCTCTCCCTTCCCCTCCCTCTTCCCTTACCCTCTCCCCTCCATCCATCCTTCGTCATAATCGCATAAGAAAAAAAAAAAAAAAAAAAAAAAAGAAAGAAAAAGGATAGAGAAACGTTTCGTGTCCTAAAGCATTTCCATTTTGCATGTGTGCTCCGCCGCTGACCTTTTCTCGAAACATAATAAAAAAAAAGAGCAAAAGGAGGAGTCTTAAAGTATGTTTGTCTCTGATTTATTAATTTTTTTGCTTGTTCGTTTGATCTCTTCCTGTTTCTTTCCTTTCTGGAATGTCTTTCTTCGTCTTCTTCCCCTACTTCTTCTTCTACTTCTTCCCCTCCTCCTCCTCTTCCCTCCCTCCTCTTTCCTTCTCCTTTTTCCTCCTCCTCTTCCTCCTTTCTCTCTTTCTCCTTTTCCTCCCTCTCCGCTTCCTTCTCCTCCTCCTCTTCTTCCTCTCCACTCTCCTCTCCTCCTTCTTCCTACTCCTATTTCTCTTCTTCTTCCCCTCTCCTTCTTTTTCCTCTCTCCATCTCTTCAGTGTTGCTTCTTTTTCCCCTTTTTCTCTCCTTCCTCCTTCTTCACCTCCTCCTCTTCCTTCTCTTTCTCTTTCTTCTCCTCTTCTTCTTCTCCTTCCTCCTCTTCCTCCTCCTCCTCCTAAGAGGATAGAGGAATTGGTGTTAGAGTTAGGAGAAAGACAGCTGGGACGAGGTGGTAGAGTTAGCTAACATCGTGTGTTTCTCTCCCACAGCTGATGGCTTCACCTACACCTTTGGCATCTACTTCGTCCACCTGATGCATTATTACCAGTCCACGGCAGCAGCAACCTCCTGGATCGCCTCCATTCTCGTGGGAGTTACCCTCGGCTCAGGTAAATGTGTGCAGGGCTATCGCGAGCAACTCATCTGGTAACACTGTGAGTAACCCTTTCTCCGGGTAACACTGTCTCGTTTATCTGGTGGTGTTAGATTTCGTTAATTTTTGGGGAGGTAAGTTCAGTATCTGTTATTCAGCATTCCCCGTTTGATGTTTCATTAAATTAATTGGTAGATTTTGTTAATTCTTGGAGTAAGTTCAATGTTAGTTATTCAGCATCCCCTGTTTGATGTTTCATTAAATTAATTGCGTGTCTTGCTAATCATTTCGAATGAGTTCAGAAGCTTAAAGTTTGGAGACAGTGTGATTGCCATAGTCGTTCGGAATAATTATCTGTAATAACTCCTTATGTGAGACATGCAGTTGGTGCAACATGGAAGACGGTCATTTAAACGCAGAATCATGTAACAGAAAGAGACCCTCATTCCTGCCTGGTGTTGGCTTGTTCAAGACCTGATCATATCTTGGTTCTTAATGGTGTTGTCTTGGTCTGGCGCTATTCCAGAGAGAGCAGAGAGAGAGAGAGAGAGAGAGAGAGAGAGAGAGAGAGAGAGAGAGAGAGTTATAGCTCCTAGAGATATTGTAATTCCAGAGCGGCCTTTTCTTGTCGTGTCTGTGACCGTCTGACCATCGAGAACATACTCACTCACTTTCCAAAACCAAAACAAGAGGATTGCACCGACTGACCCCTGTCCCATATCACCTTACGATACCCCGACAAAGAGACACTTCCTTTTTCCTAATCAATCTAATTTCTATTTTTTTTTTTTTTCAAACTAATCTCTCTTCGTCCTTGCAGGTCCCATCGCCGGCATCCTAGTCAACAAGTTCGGATGTCGTCTCGTCACCATCGCCGGCGCTATCCTGGCCTCCGCGGCTCTCTTCGTGTCTATCTACGCCCCCAACGTTCAGACACTCTACATCACCATCGGTTTGGGAGCAGGTCAGCAGGCCAGGGTGGTGTTGTCTTTGGCGAAGGGGGCGGGGGGATAGAGCAGGGTAGGGAAATGGTGTTAGGAGGAGAAGGACAGTGGGATGAGGTGGTAGATTCGTTAAAAGCGAGTTATTACTGTATCAGGGTCTTTTTTTTTTTTTTTCTTTTTTATCAGACTAAAAAAAAAAAAAAAAAAAAAAAAAAAAAAAAAACGATTCTTGATGGGTGTTGCTTTTACACAAAATCTCGCATTGGGTGCCGAATAATTTTACCGATTCATGATTCTACATTCAGTCATTTACCGATGATTAATCACTTTTGGTACGGTATTGTAATTTCATGTTTTG